CCCTGTGAGCAAAGGCTGAGGGAGCTGGGCCTGTTCAGCCTGGAATCTTACCTTATCTTACCTTATCTGGATGAAAGAATTCTACTAGCCTGCTCCATTTACACATTTATAGCAACTACATTCAATATTTACTGCAATACTTGCCTGTCTGAACTACATCCATTAGACTCGTATTGTTTTTCTAAAACAGCAATGAATTCCAAACTAAAGTATATTGAACACAAATTGCATTCCTTTTCATTATCATAGATAATAAATACTTTCAATTCCAAAGATCACAGGGACAAGTCCTATCTTCCTCATGCAAAGATGCTTCCCAGGACATTATGCCAAGAGATTCAGATGGTCTAGCTTATTTAAGATGTATTCTGTCTCCATTGGACAATCTAAACTTCAAGTCTGAATTCATTTCTAAATATTCTGACTTCCAGCTTTCCCTAGAAATGTTCTGTACTGCATATTTTGTCAGAATGAAGAATTCAGATAAAGGTTCTTCTTTCAATGCTAAGCTATTTTCTTTGGCCTCACATCTTCAAACAAACCTCTGGATCTTAGAAACCTCGAGCAGAACGTCTCCAAATGTAAAATATTGCTAATAAAATATAGTCATCAAGAAGCTGAGCTTCACTGTCACCTGAAGTGCTCAGTTTCCATCATCAGCTTGTTTTACTCCTCAACGATTTTCAGGCTCTTTTCTGATATTAAATTCCAAGTTGGTCAAAACATAAATATCTTCCATTTTATAGACAGCTTACTGATCCAGCATGACCAGATTGCTGATAGTCTCTTTAATGTGACTTGACTGTCTGGTCTTTTTATGGCAAAGTTTCTCAATATGCCTTAATATTTTATTCCAACAAAGACTTCATCTGTGCTTGCAGGCCATTTTTTTCCCCCTGGAAATGCTCCAGCTGTCTTTATTTCATAAAGAGCTTAACTATTGTTATGGCCTTAAAAGAAGGCAGAAACATTCAGATCTGGCCATTCAAGTTCAAATTTTGCCTATAATAATATATGTATAGAATATATCACATCATTTGGTTCAAAAGATTGGTCTAGAGATACTACTTGCTTTTTGCATTACTATGGAGCAGTTGCTACCTTTACTCCAAATTAATTAGGCTGTTTATCATTCATACTGCAGAGACTTCTACACATTGGCTACTTGAACTGGGGGTTTATATCTTATAGCCATTTATATATCTATATTCCTACCTCTTCAAGTGTACCACAGGAAATAGAGAGAGTTTGAAAACATCTGGCACAGGGATGCTCACAAAAGCATGTCAAGCCAAAGGAATTACATGTTTTCTAGGTGAGTGATGTAAACATTTTGATCTTGGAGACTTCCCAGTACCCAAGGTTGCAACACTGGACATAATGACGTCTCTTATTTACAGGTTCTTTCTGGAAACAGGGAAAAAATGAAGAGGAGGGAGTAAAAGCCAAAGTCTATTCAAGTGTATTCTCAGACAAGGTGGCTTTGCTAGCAGTTAGGTGAGACAAGAGTGTCAAACAAGGATGGCATACATTGCAGATGCATGCTCAGTGACCTAAATTAAAGTTGGGAAGTTCTTTAAAAGCTGGTTGAGTGCTTTGACAGACACTGCACTGGGATGACTTGGAAGCCTGGATATGTCCTGGAGAAGATCTACAAAAACAAAAGAGGGTGCAAGCAATCTGACTGGTCCAGCTGAAACTTTTCAACCAGCTGAGTGACACACAGAATATTTCAACCAAGATAAGTGGCTGATTTTGTCTGGAGCTTGGATAAAGAAGGTAAACAGACAAACAGAAGGACAGAACGTTCAAATTGTGTTTAAAACAAATAAAATCTTAGGGTCAAATCAGGACAAACCCAATTCAGTAATTGCCAGGCTGTAACTGTAGGGAACATATTTTCCTCTACATGGAACTGAACTCTAGCATCTGTGTTGAAGTTAGGTATCAAACTACTGTATTTTTGGCTGCTATAAGAAGAAAAACAAATTAGTAAAATAAGTATGCCAGGCTGAGGCAGCAAGTTGATCCATTAGGAACAGATGAGTCTTACAAGAAGTAACCATAGAAATAATGGGAACCATAGAAATTTTCCCCATTAAATCAAGAGAGCTTTTTGATTATTATGCATATTTTTTATACTTTTTTTAAAAGTATTGGTAAAGTACATGCTGATTCTGAATAATCTCAACATGAATTTTCACCAATTTCTACCATCTTTAGAACAAAAAAAATTCACTGGAACTAGGGAATGCTGGAAAAAATCAGGAATTACCAGGAGCATGAGGTATGATGGCAGCCCTGATCTTCTTCTAAGAATACCAAAAAATATTTCCAAGAGCATCCTAACAAAGGAGTTATAAAGCGTGTATCTTCAAAGATCTGGAAAAGCTGAGCATTCAAAAGGTAGACATGAAGAGAACTAATTCCAGCCCTCATCTCTGTCCTTGCCAAGTCTTGTTGTGAGCTCTGAAGTAATTCCCACTGTTATCCCACTGTTATCTCTGCCAGCTGAGTGAAATCTAACTATTGGCTACTCCTACTTCAACTCCCTTTGGATGGGTCTTTAACTAACAGCCTGCCACTTTAGAGATAAACAGAAATTGAAGACTCTGTTCTTGCATTTTATCCTAACAAGTCTTCAAACATTCATTTCTATATGTCTGTATGTCCGTACTTTCCTTTTTCAAAGCTATCTAGACTGTTGCTTGGGAATTCTGTTGCGTCACAGAGGTAGATTCCAATAATACAGTCACTATGAATGAAAATGAGGAGATTGGAAAAGTCTGCAAAACTGCCCAGCTTGCTGAAGATGCAGAATCTAGATGTCTGGGGCATGAGCTCTTGAGGCCCAGTTTGAATCTCCCCTGGGCCTCACAGAGTACACAAGTCTGACTTTTGGGCTATCCTACTCCTTCCCAAAAGGAAGCTTAAGCATAGTGTCCTGGAACTGTTCTGAAATGAGCTTAGAGTCAACAGAACTAAAATTAGAAAGGGAAATAAAAACAGACTAGATATCTGAGAAGACCACAAAGTACTTACCAGGTCATGATTGGAAGAAATTGAGGTACATTCCTCTCTGCTGGTTGTGCACAATGCAGACAGCATTAGGATTTAGTTATGCCCATAACATGAATAGGGTTACAGATTATTAATCAAAGGGCACCTACTTGAACACATAGTTCTTCCTACTATACAGTGTCTGTTGCACTATGAATCTAAAGCTCTGAAATGTAGACTCCATCTTTACAGCGGGATATAGCATCAAGTTTACATTTGACAGAGAAGGTATTTTATTTTCCCATTACCCACAGTCTTAGTAAATAATTCATATAAAAGAGAGTAATATAAATAAAAGATTAGCGCCACTATACAGAAATTCTTTAAGACAAAAACTAGATATACAACATATATCAAAAATATTAATTAGTTCATAAAACCTGTATACTAAAAGACAGAAAGATCCACAACTTTGGACTGTAGCTGCTTGCCTGAAAATCCCAATGTTTTTCCGAAGAAGTATCCTAAGCATTCTACACTAAGTCTTTTTGTATATTCCCTCTCTTAGAAAATAAAATGCTTTTTGCTAATTTCTGTTGTTGGAAATTCTTAGATATGCTGCAATTCTTAAAAATATGATTAAATATTACAAGAGCAGAGGAGTTATTCTAAAATAAAGAGGGTAACAGATTGACTCTCTATATAATTCTGAGCTGTCCTATATAGAAAACCTCAAAATTTAAATAACCTCTTAGATCTTTTACTGCACAATGTAGTGTGAAAAAGCAGAAGTCTAAGTGCTCATTTAAGAACAACTATCTTGTTGATATTGTATCAAACAGACAAGTTGCTGAACATACCAGGTGGTACTTATCACAAAAACTGTGATTAAAGATTGTGTGGTAAGATGTGCTGGCTATCCAGAAACACATCAAATGTGTGTATCCAGATACACATCAAATACGTTACTATATTTCAAAAAGGAATTTTAACAGTATCTGTCATTAGTGCAATGATAAGTGTCCAGATTGACACATGATAGTAATGAATGCTAGAACAAGATGACCTTAAAAAGCTGATCTTCAAAAAATGGACCCATATCCACTGCTGCCTGCTTCAGATGCATGTTTTATATTCCTACTGTTTTTCCTGCTATTTCACCTTTAAGATTAAGAGGCTTTAAGTGGTATCTGCATCTGTCAGTCTTATAATTACAGCTACAACTATTTGGTTCATCATCTAGACTAAAGCTTATACTAATTGTCTTTGTCATTATGAAGCTCTACCAACACTTTGGGAAGCAAAGCTGTAAAGCATTTATGACTTGTCATATACATATACAGTTACACTGTACTGTATTATTATTATGAACTAAAAAGCATTCAATCTAATTGTGGATGTACTCTGATCGTATTTTCTGACAGCCTATTTGCTAATTTGCTCTGCGTTTAAGTTCCATTCCATTACTCTAAAATACACATAAGGAGAAATGAGACAAATTTAAAGACAATTAAAAAAAAAAGTCATTCTAGCATTTCACACCTGCTATTATCTTCTGTCATTTTGCCATCAGATTTCTTTCATGAAATAAGAAGTGCCCATTCCCTTCCCCATGTCCTGCATTCCTGTATGTTAAGGTCTCTGAACTCAGTATCTATCCTTATCTGTTTGGCACCTGTGAAATAAGATGGGATCTTTCAGTCGCAGTGCAATATACTACAGAAAATGCTTATTCAGAAAATTCTTATTCCTAAATATTACTGATAAATCAAAATTCTTAGAGAAAAAATGCCTTTTTTTTTTTTTTTTTTTTTTTTTAAGTTAGCTACTGCTAAGGTACTGATGACACTAAACACATTTCACAATAAGATTATCTTTTATTAGAGGTCTTATATTACATATCCCCATAAGATATAAAACCTTCTAAGAGAAAATATCAAAAACCTTCAATTTAAATCAATTGGTTTCAGAGACAATATGAGCAAGTAAAAACAAAGACATTTCAGATAAAGGAATGTAAAAAAATCGCAGTACAGGTACAACTCTAATATGAAGAGTAATTAAAAGGTCTTATACCATTTCTTATACAGCATTGTCTTTAAAAGAATATTGGGTAAAAGTAACATGCTTGGTTTTCTTAACCAGTAGTTAAAACTCAGCAGTTATAAAAACAGAATAAAAGTAAAGAGTATGATGAAACTAGATGGCAAATGCACTGAAAAACAAGAACCTGAAATCTCTTAATACAGTAAGAATTCATGAGAGCTGCTGAGAAAAGTATCAACGGTTACATCCTGAACCAATTACAGTAAAATCTCTTACCAGACTGTGGAGTCTGGTTTTAGGTGAGGACCCCAACCTGTTCTGTTGTTGGAAAAAAAAAAAACAAAAAGAAAAAACCAAAAATATGAGACAAAATAACAGAATAGAATAAATCTCCTGGTTAAGGAAAATTCAGGCATCATGATTGTACAGCTGATGATAAATCAAAAAGTTACAATGCCAAGAAACATCTTTTGGAAACAATTCCAACAGGCAAAATACTTTAAAACTTTATTGCATCAAAGTTTTACCTTTCTATTTAACAAAACTTAAAATTTTGAAAGCTCTCTTGCGCAGAACACACACAAGTCTCTGAAATGTTTTAATTCTTAAGCTGCAACAAAATAGATGTTATTAGAATCTTCTGTTGGCAAGTGTACCAAGCTGTAAGTTCCAACAAAAAAAAATATATTTTCAAACACTCTAACTAAGAAAACTTACAGTACATGTTTATTGCATGAAAATATCCATTCATTGGATCCATCTGATTCTTCCATTTATGGTTAGTGGTTTTTATGCTCTTGACATAACTTGCACCAGAACCTGCTAAATATTCCATTAATTACATACAGCAGATTAAGTAGGGACACATAGGCAATCCTGATAGAGATCCAGTCATAATAAAGCATGAAATTAAAACTTTACTGTCATTTTCTTTATGATTGCCTGCAGCTACAAGATATAATTTGATACACTGTGGAACGATAATGATCAAATTAAGTACAGTTGGCAGCATGAAAATAGCACATCTTTTTACCAGTTAACTTTTCATGCATTATTATTAAAAGAGTGATGTATGGAAAAGTAAAGGTTAAGCAAGAGATGAAAACAAGTAATATGAAGATAGAAAAAAGCGCTGTGAAGGGGATCACACTCAAAGACATGTTTATGTTTCAATTGTAAGCAGTAGTTCTACACAGAGAAATATTTTCCACACTCAAATGGCTTTAGCAATAAATGTGAAACATGTTGTGAAATAAGTTGAAATGTGAAAACAAAGCAAGAAGAGTAAGAACCTACTCCTCGGTACTGTGAACAGTGGCAACGTTAAGTGAGGTTGTAATTTTGAGAAATGATGTTTAAAATATAGGCACATGATTCTGAATGCACAGGTCACCACAATCTGTGACACGCAAGCACGACTATGAGGGTTTGCAAACTATGTCTTGCTCACTATCAAATCTCTGCATCAAGTTGCAATTTCCTTGAAAGCAGCTGAATTTAGGTTTTACAGTAATTCTTTTTTTTTTTTTTTTTTTGATTTGTGATATGACATCATTTTAATACATTCAAATAGTCAAAATGTTTAGAATAAGATAGCACAAACTTGGTGCAGGAGGACATAGATCAGAGTGTGGCCGGCATTATCAAATAGGAGATACACAGTTTAAGTATTATATAAACTACCCTTCCCCCAAAACATTAATGTAGACACCAAAATTGTAACAAGACGTATCAAAAAATAAGGCACATTTATCTTGATATGGTAATCTTGAAATAGAAAACTCATTTAAGAGAACATCAATATCCAAATGAGTTTTGTAAAAAATCTTGTATTCATGACAATTACTGACATTTCTTGTCACTTATGATAATGGAATAATTGCACATATCCCAGTGTGTCAAGTAACAAAATGGGAGTTATATTAAACATTTTGAATGCAAAATTGTTTTGCAGATTCATGTTTTTGTAGTTACATAGCTCAAGCAAGCGGTAGAAGCTTTAAAATCTACCATGACTTATCACAAGGACTGCAAGTTTTCATTCTACCACAATTCAAAAATCTCTTTTCTGTTGAGCAAGTTGAAATGAATTGTGGAGTAAGTTGAAATTATTGTCATTTATGCAAATGATTGTAAATATTTGGACATTAGCTACTACCCAAGAATATTTTATTCCATTTTAATTCCAAGCTGCATCAGGCATTTCTACACTGATTTATTTGTACACAAATTAATGAAGTATCAACAAAACAGTTTGTCTAAAATTCAATCCCCTTTGTCTAAAATTCAATCCCCTTTGTCTAAAATTCAATCCCCTTTCTATGATAACTAAAATAAGAACACCAGATACATCGTTAGTTAGCATTTAACCTGAGATTTAATCTGTTGAGAGGTTAATATCCTTTAAAATTTCTTCACTTGTTGCATTAATTTATACTGATGTCGGTATTTCATGAAAAAAAAAAATGTTGCTTGCAACATGGCTTTTCACTGTGTTGGTCAAAGAACAATAGAATGTAAGCTATTTTTTTCTCACAGTATCCAGAAGCTGGAACAATAATAATGTGCTTCTTATTGCACGTGGAGGCGATACAACTGCAGAATCCTCTTCTCTGAGTATTAAAGCCAGATTTCATCTTAGCCGAATCCGGAATGTATTTATCTCCATAGAACTCATATTAATTTCAGTAATATTTCTAGCATCTGAAGGTGAATGCATCAAAGATAAAGATGTAGGTGTAAGACTTTCTACGCTGAACTTGTTAAATAGTTTATGCACCTTTATCTGGGAAAAAAAAATGTATTTTTAGAAAATAATATATTTTCCTTAAAATCAACTTTAATATTTAACAGTCATCTAAATCATACATTTCTTACAGACAATAACTCAGGAAAACTTACATCAGCAACACCACAAATATTTCTGGATACCATTTCTTAACTGCTATATACTAGAAAAAAAAGAAGGCATTTTTGGTAGTCTTCACTTTTAACACTTCAAAGAAACTAAAATAAGCATAAATAAATGGACAAAAAAATGACAAAAATATTTGGATTCAAACCCTTCCATTTTCCAATCCCAACAGTTGCCTGTTAATAAAAATACTAAACCTATTTCAAGATTTGAAAATCCTACAAAAACACTACTAATTATCCCAAGATCTATAACCTTTAGGAAAAAAAACTGTAGAATTACAGCTGTTACATATCATAACAAATCTAGGACATACACAACGTGTTCAGATATTTGCAATGAGGTAGGCCATACAATCCTGCAGTAGACAAAGACATGCTGGAAGTGGTAACAATTTTCCAAGTACAAGTTGCATAACTTATGAATAAGTTAATACTTTCCAGACAACACACTTAAGAATTTGTAATTCAACTCTTTTTTTGATCAACTTGCTTGCATTGCACTATTTGGAAATTATGTAAGGAATAATGATCAGTGCTTGAAATGCTTGAAATAATATATAGGGAAAATCAGTAAGATTAGAACTTCAACTTAGACATTTACTTGCTGACAACTTGCCTAATCACTTATACACAAGAAATTTTCTACATTTATCAAAGGTAAGCACTATATTCAGCTTTCGAGATAAGCGCAACTAATATCCTGAAATATCTTAATATCCTGAAATTATCATTCTTGAGAAATAACTGCTAAGATTTCAACCACAATTTTACCCTAGTATCAATCTTTTTGCAAAACATTACACATGAAAATATCCATAAAATGTCACTATACCTTTCCCTGAGTGGTAGAACAGAACAGACCCACGTCTCTGTTTGAAAATCTACAATCAAATCCCTTCCTGTGAAGAATCAGAGCAGCTTCATCAGATGGCTCAAAATCTGACTGCAAGAAATGAAAGAAACAAAACGTTACTCAGAAAGTAGCACAGCAAGGAAGATACTCTAGGACTTCATAAGCAAATTATAACCTTACAGTGATAGAGCCACTTATGCCTCAAATATCGTCCAGCCTAGACTGGAAAGCCATAGTTCTTTTAATGTTACAAGACTAAACATGAAAAGAATTAAACAGCAGAATGACTTCAGACTTACATTTGTATTATTTGTAACTGGTAAGTTAGTAACCAGAGAATTCAATGCCAGATAGATATGGACATAAATGTGGACTCATAATTTAAGTGCTGCTTCAATTATCTAGTGTAGTTGTACTAATTAGTTTCTTAGATAAATTATGACATCAAAACCAAACCAAAAGCATGTGGTAACTGCACTAGCAGCTTAACTTTTAATGACTATATTTTATCAAATTTTCAGTTTGCACATCCAATCCCTAAAAATCTTTCTCAGTTTGAAGTCTACATGAAACCATATAGTAATATGTAAATATTAAATATTTTTTATGTTTGTAGAAAAAAAGTATGTTGCTCTTGAGCCTCAAATAACATCATAAAGTAATTCACAGCCTCAACTGCAAAGTTTGGTCCAAAAGACTGAACTTAATTTAGAACAGTATGGTATTAATGTGACATCTAATAAAACAAGTAACTGTTTTGATGTGTGCTTCAGAAAGAGTCCAATGCTGCAACTGGATGGGAAGCTGTTTAATTTTTACAAAAATGTTTAAGAAATCAAGCAAACAGGAAAAGCAGCAAAAAGGAAGTTATTCATCACATTTCATACTTCCATTTCCATTTTAAGCACTCAACCCTTTCCCTAAGCAGCAGCCAGTGCTTCAGGAAAAACTATTTTCACATCACATCTTTGAGAAAACTGCCAGTTTTTCAATGCAAGCTTTGTCAATAAGCACTAAGCTTTTTATTATCCTTTAGAGTCCTTGGAACTGTAAGGTATGAGAGATGTCTTAATTAAGTATGCTTCAGGTCAAAACCCATCTCCTCCTAATAAGGGAGACGGCGGGAGCAAAGACAGCTTACTTAAACACTGTCAGACAGTTTCATTTTACTGAAAATTCACTTACTCACTGAGATGAGAAGAAATAAAAACCTAATAAAATTAACATCTCTGTTTTTAAGTTCCCCGTTTCAAAATTCTAAAGAAGGTTCCCAGTTAAATTTGGACTTGAAATGAGGTATGTGCATAAATCATTGGCTGGTGAAAGCTTTGCAGAGTTTGAAAGTCATGAGAAGGATTTCCTAAACAGAATGGTTAAAATAACCTTAATATCAAGTTCTTAGTGAACTGTGTCCCTCATCAGCATATTTAAACAGGTTTACATCATTTTATTTATCAATGACCTGGATGAGGGCACGGAGGGCACCCTTAGCAAGTTTGCAGATGACACCAAGCTGGGTGGAGTGGCCGACACTCCGGAGGGCTGTGCTGCCATCCAGAGGGACCTGGACAGGCTGGAGAGTTGGGCAGAGAGGAACCTCCTGAGGTTCAACAAGGACAAGTGCAGGGTTCTGCACCTGGGGAGGAATAACTCCAGGCACCAGGACAGAATAGGGGTCGACCTGCTGGAAAGCAGCTCCACGGAGAGGGACCTGGGAGTCCTGGTGGACACCACGTTACCCACGAGGCAGCAGTGCCCTCGTGGCCAAGAAGGCCCATGGGATCCTGGCTGCATCAGGAGGATGTTGGCAGCAGGTGGAGGGAGGGGATCCTGCCCCTCTGCTCAGCTCTGGGGAGGCCGCACCTGGAGTATTGGGGGCAGTTCTGGGCTCCCCAGGACAAGAGGGACGTGGAGCTTCTAGAGGGGGTCCAGCGGAGGGCAACCAAGATCATAAAGGGAATGCAGCATCTCTTATACATGGCGGGGAGTGTATAAGAGTATGTATAAGTATATACATTTACAAATATCTAAGGGGAGAATGTAAAGTGAATGGGGCCAAATTCATCTTGGTGGTGGCCAGGCACGAAGAGGTAATAGGCACAAACTCAAGTTACATCTCCATATGAGGAAGAACTTCTTCACTGTGAGGGTGACAGAGCCCTGGCACAGGCTGCCCAGGGAGGCTGTGGAGTCTCCTTCTCCAGAGATCTTGCAAACCCGCCTGGATGCCGCCCTGTGCTCTGGGTATCCCTGCTGGAGCAGGGGGGTTGGACTAGATGATGTCTAGAGATCCCTTCCCATCTTAACCATTCTGTGATTCTGTCACTTTATATCTTGAAGGGTTGAGAATTTTCTACATATTTTACTGCAACAATAGCACCATTTCCTACATTAAATAAGACAGTAACAAAGTAAAAAATAATAGTTGCAGTCTTCAACTATGAGATATCAGACTTAGTTTTAACTGCATTGATATGACATACAGTTGAAATAAAGCACTGCGCTTAAAAATACATGCTTTTATGCACAAAAAATACTGTCCGCCTAAACATCAGATTAATGAAGTATTAAAATTCACACTGCAAAAGCCTGACTTCCTTTGGGGGCAAAGTGATGCTAGAAATGACAAGCCAGTCAAGTATATCAACACTTTCTCTATATCCAGTGGAATTATCTTGTAGTCATCTGCATAATAAATGCATTTCAAATGACAGCATAACTATTTCAACTCATAAGTTTTTTCAAAATTAAATATTATCCTAATTAAGATTCAGAATGTTCAAAATAGGATGTTATTAAATAATTAAAATAATGTTTAGGAATAGAGCTTTGCCAAATATAAACATCTGTGACATAGCAGTCAACCGCTTAGACTTCCCAGGACTTTATCATGCATCTAACAGCCACAAGTAAAGAATAAAGCTGTAAGTTACTTATTATAAAACAAGATGTAAGACATAGCAAGTTACCATAGTGTATGCATCTGCTCTAACTTACTACTTATTCTTCTACTATCTCTAGGTAAATTAGACTGAATGTACACAAGCCTAAGGGAACCTCTGAGTATGAACCTAATTTAAGTCCCATATACTTTTCAAATTTGGCTATAACTTTTTGAAACCCTGTATCACTTTTCTCAATTTTCAACAAATGCCAATATCCTTAATCCTATAAAATTTCACAGCAATGTCATATGACAAAAATCCCAAAATACAGAGCAATCAAATCTCTGGCTGCCTTTCTCAGAACAGCTGCCAAGGCTTGATCCAATTTTGATCTCTTTGAGAAGTTTAATGTCGTTTTCACATGAGGCTCCTAGATAGAAAAAAACCTGCTATGCTGTCTTATAACAGAATCACAGAATCACAGAATAGTTAAGGTTGGAAGGGACCTCTACAGATCATCTAGTCCAACCTTCCTGCTCAAGCAGGCACACCTACAGCATGTGGCACAGGGCGGCATCCAGGCGGGTTTGGAAGACCTCCAGAGTAGGAGACTCCACAACCTCCCTGGGCAGCCTGTTCCACTGCTCTGTCACCCTCACAGGAAAGAAGTTAAGTTATAAGCAGTATCTCAGGCCATCCTTGTAAAGATCTTGATGATTAAAATGACAAAACCATTTAAACATTATCAGTCTAACAGAAATGTATTACAAAGTTCAAGCAACAGGACAAAAATGTCTATTTATATTTAGTATGAAAGAACAAATGAATTCATTTTTTAAATAGTGAAGCCCAGTGTATTTACAGTAGGTAATTCTAGTTTCAGTGAATTTAAAAAACAGGTTTATATTACAAATGTCTTTAATTTTCATCTTCCCAAGACACTACCCTCTTCTACGATAGGATCATATATCTTATACAAGTAGCATTTTTTTTTCCCTCTGAGGGGGCAAATTAAATGAAAACAAGGAATTCCCTTACACTTTTCCTCATTTATGCTTTAATGCACTGCAACTTTTTAATTTCTGCTTTAAATCTTAGTAATATTCTAATTTGATACTCTTTTTCTGTGAGTTTTCTCAGAAATTGTAATTATACCATCTCTTGAAATATCATTTCCAACAAATAAAGCTGTGTGAAGTTTGCAGTTCTGCAAAAAAACTATTCAGTACCAATTAATAAAAATTATGGCATTTGCTACTCCTTGGCAGACGGAAGTAAGACACAGGAAATGAGGAAAGAATTAAGAAGATCATTCTGACATAGAAGACATTCAACGCAGAGTGTTTCTGAGGTGGAGAATAACTTTTCTTCTATAATAACTATAATGCTAGTTCAGGCATACAACTACTAGTATTTTTATCTTTGAAGTGCACAAACCAAATCAGTGGCTGCAAACTCAAGAGTTGTCATAACACTCAAAAAATGACCAGCATGGAAAAGGTCTTCAGTTCTTGCATGATTACAAAAGCTTAGTCATTACACTGCAGTTCAGGAAGGTAATTTGTGAATTTTGTATATAATATGAGTAAAATATTTTACTAGACTCTATTAATAAGCTGTATCATACGGTTGGTCATTAAAATAATAATTTGACTTACCTTTGACTGGATTGTCCTCAGATTAACTATGTGCATGTCACAAGGCATGGATGACATGAGTGGGGAAAAAGAACGTAGTATCTCAGGGACACCTGAATCTGCATAAATTGTCATTGGAATTACAGGATGATTTATGAAGGTAGAAGTTATATGGCTAAGGAGTGAGGGAAAACTAACTGATGACTTCTCTTCATTCTGCAAAATATAGAGAAAATATTTGTTAACTCAAGTTAACACATGAACGTGTCTAAAGTTCTAAACACATTTACTTTACATATGATTCTATTGAGACAATATTTTAATTTATATACCGACCATTTAATCACTTCTGGAAACTTCTGATCATTCCCTAATTCTCTTTTTCATCACAAGGAATATCTACCGCTTTTGCAAATAATTACTGCCTCTTTCAAAAATGATCGTAAGAATGTATTGCCACTTGCACCACTGCTTTGTTGTCAGCGTTACACCCCAAACACGTAATCTAGAAAATGTCCTTAACGACAAGCCTTCTAATGAAAAGCTCTGTGTAATGGGTTGCTTGTCAATATTTATTGCTAGTCCTTGCTGTTCACTTCCCACTTGCTTTGTGCCTTCAAACTATTTGTCTTTAACAAGTTTTTTGTTGTTGTTGATTTTTTTCATTTGTTAGGGAAACTGCTACAAAATAGAAAGTGACTTTTATAAGAGTTGGCAGCAGGGGAACAAAATACCTCTTTTGAAAACTGGTATACTTGACAAACTTTAAGAAAGAATCATAAATTCACGATTCTCTAGCCCTGCAATTCTTGAGCACCTAATCAGAAGAGAGAGAGAAAAAAAAAAAATATTCATTCTTGATGTTACCAGAATACTTTTCAAAAATATTGCTTTTCTAGACAGATTAGAGCATAAAGAGTCCCTTGTTCTGGGTATTCTGACATGCTGTATATATCCTACCAGCTTCTGTCACTGAAATTTCTTTGAACAAAATAGTAGTGTGAACTAGAAAACAGTTTAATAATGGTCCTCTTTTCCACATGTAAAACAAAGCTATCGTTTTTAATACATTTGGTAACAAACGGGAAATGACTTAGGGCAAAAAAGGTACCTTATCAAACAAAAGTAAGTAGTACTATATCCTCAAAAGAGCACCTGGGCATGTTAAGGTATTTGAGCCCTGATCATGCCTAGCAGCACAATTTGAAACAGAGGTGGCAGAAGAGATCTCGATACTTTTGAGACCAAAATAAAAATTCCTGTGACTGTTGCTTTCAGAGAAGAGTGTTCTGCTCAGCTGTAACATGAAATTCAGTGCTATGTAACAGAGCTATGTGGGCAGATGTCAACATTTTATCTCTTTTCCCACAAATGAAATTTTTGCATAACAGTTCTGTTACCTAGACCTAAAACTGTTTAGAAGAATTGTCACTGAAGATCAGAATAAAATATAATCAAAACTGACCTCTTCAGAAAGTTCTCTGGTCAAAACCACAACATAAAAACAAGTAACTCAAGATTTTCAAATGAGTATTTCACAAGATCAGTTTAACTTTCAAATAAGTTGCTCAACACAACTAAAACCTTTGATATACATATTTATGGATTCAATTGGCACACAGCAATTATTTACAGCCCTTTCTGCATTACTCCAGAATTTTCAGAATTAAGAGGCTCCGACAAGACTGAAAGAGGAAGATGGGCGGGTTTTCAAAGAAATAATTCTGTTTTTTATTTTTGAGGTTTTATCTAAATGTTCATTAGCACTGTGGATGACACTATAAGACATCTTAAACATTTACTAGTTACTTCTACCCACTGCAACCTTATGCCTGGAAATACAGTGCTTGCAAAAACATAACTCGCTTAGATATCCACGTAATTTCAGGAACCTCAAAGTAAAAAAAAAGCACCTAGGCCACATGAGACGTACAGAAGTGACGTTTTTCTGATAACTGTGTTTCTTAGAGAAAAAAGATATACTAAATCTAGTACAGTATGATTCTAAGAGGCAAACATCTCAGAAGCACAGAAAAATAAATGCAAGCAAGTTTTTATTTTGGCTCACATCAAAGTAGGAAAAATATCAAGTCCTCATTCTCATCTGGAGGTGAAGATACCACAGGGCAGGACATTTTTCTAGGACTTAGTAGTTCAAAATCTTCTTCAGGCTAGGAGAACTGACTTGAAAAAAAATGTACTTTTTATAGAGAAATGCAGTAATGTATGTAGCAATAGAGAAATCATAACCAAAGCACACAGAAAGAAACCGGTAACTTCAAGGCAGAAGCATGGGTGTGAAGAAATCATTTTTGGTTGAAAGGTGAAGGGATTAAATTCTTAGACAAACCGCACTGTAACTATAAAAAATGGCTCCTAAATTCTTAGATTCAAGAACTGGCTAAGCAGAGTAGCATAGTCTTGAAGGACTTTGGCAAATGCTAGAATCAGAAGTGATTCAATTCCCCCCAGACACATCTTTACTCCTGCTGCGTTTAGATCTGCAACTTTAGTACAGACCTAAGTGTTCTACTTGAGCATTAACCAAAATTCCAACTTTGAAAAGAACTACCAAGATTTACGTGGAGATTGTATCTTGAACCATATATTTTCAAGCCTGGAACCAGAGCCAATTTCTAAATGTCTGCACCAGCACAGGAAATGCAATCATCTCTTCCCAGAGACGGTAATTCTACAACTGTACAATATCTACAACTGTAATAGCAGCATGAAATTTCACAGAGTCAAAAGCTGCCAGAAAACCCAAAAGGGGTAAACAAGTTTTTGCAAATATTACAAAGACAATGGTAATACATAAAAATCAGAAGGGATGTTTCAAATCCCACTTTCCTCCTACATACACTACAGACGTAAGAAGGATTGGAACATGTCTCTCCCCTCACAGCCATGCGATCCAGAATTTAAGCAGGAATCAGAGGGAGAGACAGAAGGGGAGGTTGTGAATGTATAGACCACACATTTGGAAGAACAGTTAGTCTGTACATTTCACTATGTGGGTGGCTTTCAGCAGTACCTTGCTGTTGCTAACACGGAGACAGAGTCTCCATCTAGCTAAAGTACCGCTCTCTCAAGGAGTAATTATTTCCTCAACTTCAGTGTGTGTTTAGCACTTAAGGAATGAATGAAGCCCTACTGGCAACCTTACAAACACCATGCATTGGCAAGACTCTGACAGATGCCAGAGATGTAGCTGAGTGTTAGCTTAATGAGCTCTAATAAGACCACATAGTTCTTTTTTAAACTACTTTATAGCACGCTTATATAGCTAGCTATCCAACAGCAAATCCTGTGTTGAAATGTGACCCCCTTAAATGACTGTGCAATAATAGATGTAATCAAATCTTCATACTGAAGCTGTCCTTATCATCAAAAGGAAGATAATTGTGGGAAAACAAACAAAACAAAAACAACAACAGAAAAAAACCAACCCACTCCAATATAACCTTAGGGGACAAACTGGAGCAAGCTATAGAAAAGGCTTAATGTATGAAGAATGCTCTAGAGGAATATGGCATACAGGCTGGAATCTCCTTTGCCCTTATAGCATAAGTAAAAATTATTTTACTGATTATTGATATTGATTATATTATTTTATTTGTATTATTTATTTAAAAGGAGGATAGAACATATTATAAAATGACTGAAAGGGCTTTCCACTAAGAATTTAATTGAGGACCAGGGCTCCTTAATTGGAAAGAAGCACACTAATTAAGACTCCAGAAATCACTTAGTAACAGAATAAGAAAAAGGAATGGGTAGAGAAGAAAATGAAGCTGAAACAGCTGATAATTGGACTTTAATCTAGCTAATAGAGAAACAATTAGCTTTTCAACATATATAAGTGGTCTAAAGTTTCCCACATAGAAGTAAGGATAGGAAACTGGGCCAGATGTGAACATCAAATCACAGATCTTGACAGTTTAGTCCTCTAGACAGTTTTTGCTATGGAGCAAAACAGCCCTTGTCAGAAAAGGAATTCAATTCTAACTCCAAAAGCTCACCAGCATTCAAATTATCTGATCAAACATGCTGAAATGTGGATGAATACTTTGGATCTCAGGACATTCAAACAATCTGGAAAAAGATAAGATCACTGGCCGGCTAAAACAAGGGATGTAGAGCAACAGACTGCGATATTAAATTGCATGAACTAGTTCTGAAGGAAGACAGTCGCTGTCTCCTTACGCTTTGCGATAAAAGACTCAATATGTTTTTCAACTTTCTCAATCACAGGTTCAGAAAACCAACTGGCAGCACTCTCAGAGGATGGGCACTTCTAGACTAACAACTCAATTTCAAGAGTAAGATGACTCCTCAGAGCTTCCCTAGTCTCACCACTTGGAATGGCAACATTATTAATTCTTTCCCAGTCATAATCTGGAAAGTGAGGTTGTCAGCCAAGAAACTCAAAATATATTTTAAAAAATACAAAAAAAAAAAAAAAAAAAAAAAAAAAAAGAAAAAAAAACCCTAAATTTGGTTCTCCTCCTAAGATTTAAAGATTTAAATGTTGACAGTATATTTACATATTCAACAAGATGGTACTTATATGTGAGAAGTCTGACTGGATGATAATATGCTGGTCTGCTTACAGGTGAAAAACATAATGGTTGGCAACAACTATGTTAATATGTTGTCCTGCAGTATATTATGTGGTAGGTAACAATAGTTTACATTACACATGCTCTTCCCTCAAAGGAAAAGTCTTAAATTCTTAATCAGGTAGAGCTCTACCCACTTTGCAAGGAATAAGTCTGTAGACAGACAGTAAGCAAATTATAATGCATTCTTGCATGGACACCAGCAATAAACTGTTTCAACTTAATTATAATCATTATGTGCCAGACTTCCTGGATCTTAGCTCTTTACAGTGCAAAGTAGATGCGTTTTCTTGAAATTCAGCTAATTGTACACTATAACACAAAAACATTTCTGAGATTATAAATTCTTCAGTAGAAGATCCTCCAGATAACAATACGCCACTAATTCCTAATTTTTGTGATAACAATCTCTGGAATCAGAGATCATGCATAGGCAAAAAATTTGGTGCTTTTGAAAAGGCAAACATTCACTAGATAGTGTGGTTTTCACTCACAGCAAAACAAATACCAGTCAGATAACAAGGCAGAGTGAAAAAAAAGTTTACAGGTTGAAAAGCATTTAAATCTATCCTTCAGAAACCATGGCGTGCACAA